CATGAACATAAGCTTAAAATCCTGAATTCCTTTTAACTTTTTAATAACTCCCAAAAAAAAAACCCAACAAAACCCAAAGGGAAAAGCAGAAGTTCAGAGAATTCTAACGTTGTTTCAGTTTTAAGACTAAAAAATGGTGTGTGGCAGGTTTTACATGCATAAAGGAGGAAATACACACTTACTCTGTGCTAACAGCAATCACATCTTAAGTCCCCAATTAAAATGTGACTTTTTAAACTCCAAAAGCCCCACGTGACTGTTTAGCCATCTGTTTAATGAAACAGCCACTACGGATTTGGGCATAAATAATTATTACAGTAAGGACAGTGCTGAGGATAGTTCAAGTCATCCCAGTTGAGCATGACAGTTAATTATGAAGAGATAATTAGTGTGGGCTAGTTAGCATCATCTCATATCCAGGAAAGAAGTAGGTAACAAATCTCTGTCTCAGTATAGATCATATAGAGTGTATGATTATATACATTCTTGAATCATTTTTAAATTTTCTAAAATATACACAAAATAGTAGATTTACTGAGCTATATTCAGTCACAAGGAGAAGTATTATTTTCCATAAATTATCTACTGATAATATTTATCCTTTGCATTTGATTTTTCATTGAAATATTATTATTTCAAGTTATTACAATGGAAGCTTGTGTGTCTTATGGTGTTAGAAGGAATCTTCTGCATTTATCCCTAGTGGAACCCATGACTACAGCCCTTAATGTACTGCCAGGAAAACACTGAAGAGGTGATTTTAGAATAAGTTCTCTACAATTAAATGTAGCAAAGGAAAGGAGAGTTCCCATGAAGATGGTTCTAAGAACTCATACCAAATAATAGTTTCAAATTTCTCTCTTAACACTGCTTTTATAAGGAACAAAATTGATTAATTTCCTTCTCACTGTCTTAGTTTAAGTACTTTTGTGTTGTGAAATAGATATTAGCTACATTATGGAGGAAAAATCAGCAAAATTCTTTCATATTTAGTAAAGTATAGCTGGGTACAGCACAACTGGACTCTCTGTGTATTGATCAGCATCAGCATTCATTACTAGCTCATCAGTATTAGAACCAAGGGGATGTTTACCAGGACTGCCTTACAGGAAAAAAAGAACAAAAAAAGAATTTCTCTGCCTGGCTCCTCATTCTCATTTTGAGCATGAAACTAAGCTTTATTATGTTTCATGTACAGTAATTTCTTGAAACTTCTATTTGCTCCAAAATGAAAATCTTGTGAATTTAGATTGCTTCAGTTTACAATTTGTGACTGAATTAAGTTCCATTTTATCATGCTATTAATGAAGAAGGATTTTTAAAAATTAATAGGAAAACATTTTATGAGGATTTTGACCACTCAATAGACTTTAAGAAGGTCCTAATATATTCTTTGTTTCAATACAAGATTGAGTTAGCTGTACATGGATCCCTCTATAAGAATGTGTAGTATTTAAGAGCTCTAGTTTTCTTTAAACTCATTGAGACCTTAGTTTTAAAATGAGAATAAGCTTTACTAGGGAATATTATTGCAAATGTATCATCACAATTACATATTAGTGTTTCTATATCATAGCTGTGTGATCTTGGGAAAATTACATAGGAATTTAATTTGGTTTTCTTTAAAAGAGTGATATAAGTAGTATATTTTTTCCTCAAGTGTTGTTAGGAAGAAATAAGACAATGAACCTAAGATTCTTGTGTTAATGCCTCCACATCTAGGCACTCAATATGAGTCAGGCATTATTAATATTTATCTTAAAATTAATTAGAATGAACAGGATTGGTGTTCTTCTTGGAGACACATATTTTGTCTTTAGTTAGGATATTGTAAACGCCTTGAAAAACACATATATATCTATTAAACTGTAATAGAGATTTTATTCATTCATTCTGCCCTTCTCCCATGAGCTTATCAATTATAATTATAAACAAATGCCTAAAGAACTACTTTTAGTATGCTTATTTTTAGTTGAGCCAAGAGTTTATATGTAAGCATTTCTCCTAAAATATTTTATATTAATAATAAATTATGTAAAAGTACTAAGTAGACAACAGAATTTAGGAGAGTGGAAGAGATGAGAATTGCAGTACATAAAACCTGGATTCTATTTCTAGTTCAGAATTAGGCAGAAAAGTTTCTTCAAACTTTAAAGAAGCTTGCATTCAATGATCACCATGGCCATTTACAGTTATCAGATTATGATTCTACAATAAACTCAGAACAACTAATTTCAAAATTATATTGTTTAACCTCTGGCCATGTCTTATCACATATCTTGGCTTCTACTCATTGCTTCCTCTTAATTGGAAAGAGTACATGATTGCTTTATCTTGCAGTTAACTTTTTCCCCAAAATCTTGAAATGAAAGGTTACCCAGTGACCTTAAAAAATATCTTGTCCTACTCAGCCAGGACATTATTCTAGTTTCTGAGAAAACCAAATAAATATATCTGGGAAAAACCCAACTCTTATCATTTTCTCCAGTAAGGAAACTATATAAATTGTTATACACAATAACTTACACTGTTCTACTAAAAGTCATTTCCCATTTTAAATATTAGAAAAATAGAATTTGAGAGGAAATTCTACCAGCTAATTTTACTTCAAAAGATGTTTTACCTTGTGTCCTCTCTTTTCTACAAACTTTAATTTATTTAAGGGATGTATGTATTTATTACTACAATTTAATCTGCTTAATGAAGCTTCATAGTGTTATATGGGCTTCCCTGGCAGCTCAGACACGTAAAGAATCTGCCTGCAATGCGGGAGACCTGGGTTTGATCCCTGCGTCGGGAAGATCCCCTGGAGGAGGGCATGGCAACCCACTCCAGTATTCTTGCCTAGAGAATCCCCATGGCCTGAGGAGCCTGGCAGGCTACAGTCCATGGGGTCACAAAGAGTCAGACACAACTGAGCAACTAAGCATAGCACATAGCATTATATATTCCTAATTATGAATAGAAATACCAGGTAAAAAGAATCAATGAAATGGATGAAGAACTTTCATAGAGACTGCTGATACTGTGCTTTGCTTTCATTAATTCAGTGTCTAGAACCAACTGAAGTGTCTAAGGATGTAGTTTATAAAGGTATGAACTTTCACTTCTAGCATTTGAATAATGCTAGCTACAGTCAAATAAATGATTTTTTTAAGATAAGGGAATGTTCTTATTCCCATTTTTCCTATGACCTCTTTGCCTCAAAACATAATCCAGTTGAGAAGGACAACATTGAATATCCAATTCCCATGAAGTTTAGAGTATAAATTTGAACCACGCTATGGCCATCTTTTAATGAAACACTGATTATTGTAGCTGAATATATTTTCAGTTCTGAGCTAGACTGTCTTATCCATATTTAGCAAAGTGCAGAATAAAAGGAAACAATATTCATTTTGAAATTACATATATATCCTTTATGACAGTTTAAAAATTTTAAACGCCTACCGCACTTGCCCCTCTCTATTCCCAATACAGAATCCTGGCTTTGTAATTTCCCTGTCAAAATATTTTTGCTGCTTTCTTCCTGCTACCTATGGGGCCTCTTTCTTTTCTTTCTGTTGGAAAAATCACATCCCGAGTATCCTAACGCTTTACTATCAGAGTTGTCCAGCCTGTGTTTCCAACATCTCACAGGGTTAGCAAGTGGAGACTGTACGCCATACCTTTCCTACCTTTTGCCTGCAGAGACCACTTTGGAGTTGGAAGCCTGGGGAAGCTGGCTGAGGTAGCAGCAGAAATTTCTTCCTAGTTCAAGCAAGGTCAAAGCCTGGTCTCTTTCTGCACTGAACAAATGCTACTGAGGAGTATCCATTTAAGCACCGTGGGTCTGAATTTAGCTGTTGTAGAATATCGCTTGAGATAGAAGTGCTGTGGTTCAGTTTGCTAAAGCACATGAGACATGCCAGAGTTAGCAAAATGAATCAAGTCCAATAAAGGCATGCTCACATTCATTTACAAAAATAGTTGAAAGGTCCCTATGAGTTTGGTGGCTTCTAATAAATATGTGTGGTATCCACATGTAATTTGGATGGAGGCTTTGAACACCTGAGATAGCATGCCATACATATGCTAGTTTCCTAAAAGACTTTTTTTGTGTAATTTCATATTTTGCTGTCTCACTTGACTCAGTTTTTCTCTATTGATATCTTCTTATCTACCATTTGCTTGTCTTACTTTTTAAAAAAATATTCAGTGTCATTAAGTACTTCATCTTTCAGTTAGATAATTTTGCATGTAATTATGGAAAAAATGGAAAACTTTTCAGATTATTGTGGATAATATGGAAAATCACGAACAATTTGTACCTAATTAGGAATTTAGGGGTTTAGTGAATTTCCATGAGCTACACAGAAGATGGATTTCCAACATGTACCCATTAGATTATTGATATTAACACATTATTTTATAAATAAAACATGTAGGCACATACTCATCTCACGTCTAGAACACTGAATTTTTGTTATATAAAAATTGTTCTAGGCCTGAATTCTCAGTTTGTTTTTAAGCTAAAGTAATCTTTGTCTAAAAGGATTTTATTTGCATCAATTGTGTCACACTTAGCCTATAAATAGTCGTAATATTTCACGTTAAGATGGTTTGACATGGTCAGAGTGTCTGTCAGTTTTTCCAACTGTTTCAGCCCTGTCACTTGTTTTGTTTTGTTGTGCATTGTCATAGGTTATAAGAGAAATAAAGGACTCATTTCCTTTACAAAACCCAGTCAGGAATTTTCCACTGCCTATCCACACTTAATGGCCCAGACTAAACACTTGTGACAAAGGAACTATGGGAATGAATGATGGATCTGTAGTATCTCTAGCCTTACCTCTAACTAGCTCTCATTATTCATCTTTGAGATTTCCATTTCCTATCAAAATCAGTTCAGTTGGATTAAGTTGATACTCTTGCACGTCCTATGAGATCTTCTGAGCATAGTGTTGGTCTCTTAATTACTGTTAATAATTTTTTCATGTTCTTTTCTCTCTTTTTTTTAGTCTCGACCTATTCCTTCCCACCTTACTTCAGCAGTTGCTGAGAGTATCTTGGCCTCAGCCTGTGAGAGTGAGAGTAGAAATGCCGCCAAGAGGATGCGCCTGGATAGACAACAGGTACTGAGGAGTCTTGGGGTCTGGCGACTATCAGCTGTTGCAAATATGGTTAAGTTAACCTGATTTATGAAGAAGAGCAAAATCTCTGGAATGGATTTGAAGTCCACAGAGAGATTGTTTTTCTGTCTGTGTGATATGAGTTGAAACTTGAAAATACATGTCCGTGAGACCAGTGGAGACGCAATGACAAAATTTTTCTCTGATGAAAAATGGAGAGTTGTAAAATGAATGAGCTATAATTCTTTTTAGGATCCAATTTGAAGTCTAGTGGCTTATTTAAATAAGAGGCTCGAATTGATCATTTACAATAATTTCATAAATTTACCTGGTCTTTTATATTAGTGACCTGATTGTGCTCTTTTTGAATGGAGGTGAGCATCTCTTTAATTTCCTCTGGTCCACTGCCAAATTTCAATAGGTTATGCTGGGAATACAGAAAGCACAATATAATCTTGAAGGCTAGAAAGTCTTAAAATGGGGTATAAAATAATGAAAACTACATCCTGTGCTTACGTTCTCATTAACAAATCATTTGCTGTATAGCCATTAAGTATCATCTATCTACATCTTTTTTCTAAGGCTGTATATCCATGTAGGACAGATGTGTACTTTTTGTGCATTGTTCATTGATGTTTTGCTCAGTTTTTCTCTCGGTTTATCTGCATCTGTCTGTCTCCCCTTCTCATGTCTGGAATGTCTTTCTTTCTCTGTTTCCTTTTTCTCCCTAGCCCTCTTTCTTAATCATCAGTAATAAAGACTATCTTATATAATTTTAAGTGCTATGTATAAAGTATTCTATATTCCAACTTTTAAATTATTTTTACAACAAATGATCTGGGAGTTTCATATTTCTCATTGAGGCTGGGATAAGGAGACTAAATTGTCAGCCCAATTTCGTTTTGCCTGTGAGCCAATGAGTTTCAAAGAAAATAGAAAAAAAAAATTTTCCATTCCAGACATAATATTTTAAAATGTTTTAGAATGATATTGTTTTAATTGTATGTATTTATACTTAATATGGCTTGTACCAGTACTTATAAGCAATGCAAAAGATGAAGGCTTTAGTTAAATTTAAAATGGGGTATTAGCCTCATATGATAAAATATATATATAAATGCTGATTTGGAATTTACTATTCATTCTTTGCCAAACACATTTATTCACATATACATGTCCTCAGTAGAGATTTTGTCATGATTATATCTCTAAAATTTATCTTGCTTAAAATAAATTACAGCCCAATATACAACATCCAGTTTAACATAGTGATTAAGATTGTAGTCTGGAGTTAAGTACAACTGATTTTGATTCTCAACTGTACCCTTATTCACTGAGTGATCTTCATCAAATTATTCTTATTTTCTGTGTTTCAGTTTGCTCATATGTAAAATAATAGCAAAATACTATTCTTAATAGGGGTGTGTGAGAACCCTGAATGTTAGATTTATGTTCGGTACTTAGCAATTTGCCTGGCACATGGTAAGCATCAAAAATTTCAGCCTAGGAAAGGTTATTTTAATTGATGTTCTAGCTTTTCTGTCATTACATCGGTATCAGTAAAACTATAAAGAAGCATTAATAGTACTATCTCAGATATAGGAGTTTTTTGAAGTCAGACTACGTCCATTGATCAAAGATTATTCTAGAAATCAGAGTGGCAGCATGTTGGGATTGAAAGGACTCTCCTCATCAGTTAGCATGTGCCTCACCAGTCTGCACTCTAGACTGCCTGAAAGGTGTGTGCGCATGCACGTGTTCGGTCATGTCTGACTCTTGCTGACCTCATGGACAGTCTCCTATGCCCATGAACTCTTCCCAGGAAGAATACTGGAGTGGGTTTCCTCCCGCAGGGGGTCTTCCTGATCCAGGGATGGAACTTACGTTTCTTGTGCCTCTTACATTGGCAGGCAGATTCTTTACCACTGTCACCTGGGAAGCCCTCCCTGAATCATATATGGAGTATCAATCATATATGCAGTTGTTATAAAAATTAGATGACTGATTCACATTATGTACTGCCTATGATCTCCTTTTACAATATCCCAAAAGCCTGATCATCCACCAATATTTGGCCAAATCACTTAACCCTTGTTGGCCTAATCTGTGAAATAAAGGGTACACATATAATACTATTTCTCCTTACTATGAATTCTGTAGATTTCACTTAGCATGCAGCACTAAAGCTTCAACCAAATGGATTCTGTACTTTTATCAAAGCGTGGAGATGTGGGGGAGGAGGCTCTCCTAATTGGATCTAAACACTCTTTGCTTAAGGAGAGACAACTAGAGTTCTTTCAGGTGTTGGCAACGACATCATACTTTTTTAGGCACATTCTTAACCCAACTCACAATTCTTAGAATTTGCCAGTGACTCAGAAATTCTTCATTGTGCCCCTGGCTTCCTGTGGGCACTTGAAAGTTCAAACATGAGACAATTAAAATCTAAATCCTGTTCATCCACACATATGACTATTTGTTGCCTCTGGTTAGCCACGCATAGAGCTGTAATTATATGTGTCCTTCAGAGTTTATGAAACTTGATAAATTAATTGGCCTTTATAAAGCTCTTTGAGCTATGAACATGAAAGGTACTATGGATGTGTTAAATACTTTATTTCATATGTCCACCTTGCCCCAGGATCGTGTGTGTGTGCAGGGGGAGCCTCAAGCCTGAAGCAAGCCAGTGGCAAGGGCAGGAGCCTGCTGCCTTGTCAGCAGTCAGATAGCACAGGCCTAAGGTCAGTCCCCAGTGTGTTACAGAATATGGTCAGCATTTATTTTCTTTTAACATGAAAATCTGGAATTTCTATGTTACCTGGGAAATCCTTCCTCACTTTGGCAATTCAAAAAGATGGGCAGAGTCAGACTTCACCTGTCTAATTCTATGCCATAGCTCAAATTAAAAGATTATCTTTTTTCTGTGTTATATATATATTATCTGACTGTGTGTATGCACTAAGTCGCTTCTGTTATGTCCGACTCATTGCAACCCTATGGACCGTGGCCCACCAGGCTCCTCTGTCCAGGCAATAACACTGGAGTGGGTTGCCATGCCCTCCTCCAGGGGATCTTCCTGACCCAGGGATCAAATCAGCTTCTTTTACATCTCCTGCATTGGCAGGCAGGTTCTTTACCACTAGCACCACCTGGGAAACCCATTATTTCACTACCATTTCCTTAAAAACAAATCCATGTCAATATTTTCGGTTACACTTCATCTCACCAGAGAGGCATAAAGTGAGAGAGATTAGAACCAGCCGCTTGTTGGCCATTTATCTCCCATCTGGGTATTTTCCTCCTTTTGAAGGATGATATATATTTTATTCCTAGGCTTGTTGAAATCTCAGATTATTGTGTGAGGGTCCTCTTGTTTCTTATCCCTATTTAGTTCTTTCAGTTAAACTATAGTTTTATAGAAGGAATCACAGAAAACCAATGGTCAAGGGCCTCCTTGGATGATCCAGCCCTCATGAAGGACAATGCAGGATGAGTACCGCATGACAGTTTTTGTGGTGACTGGAAATCAATGATAGGAAATCAATGGTAGACTGTGACGTGACACCTTTGACTCTATTGGAAGGAACACTCTAGGGGAAAAGGGAAAATGACATGTTAGCTGCTTGTGACATAAAAGGTGAGAGAGCAGGGGAAAAAATACTGAAAACTGATGTATTTCTGAGTCATGTATTACAAAAAAGAAAGTCCTTGTTAGTAAACCAGCAGGAGACCATTGGCTGAAGATCTGAAAATATTTAGTAAGCCTGGAGTTCCTGCTGCTCTGTTCTCTATAGTGCTGGTGATTATGACTTGTACATCGTCATGATTTTTCCTTTGTTAGGGGACTAATGATTGGGCATGTTATTAAAAGAAATGTAGGTAATTGTAGCTCTCAAGGTAGAAGATTCAGCCACATAAGCATGGTGGCAATGTTTCATTTTGTTGTGCATGTATTTGGAGAATATCTGACACAATGGATTCAAGATAGTTTCTGAGACAGGCCGGTCTCCTTTCATGTTTCCTTCTGCATGTCCTTTTGATAACATTTACAAAATTCTACAAATGCATAATTGAATGTCATATTTTTCAATAGACTTTTATTCTTAAATGTAAATATTGTGATAGTTACTGAGATAGAACTTGAAACCTGTTTCTGTGGTTTCAAGCTTCCAGCCCACATTCTCCTACCCCTACTCTGTCATCCTCAGCTGTTAGTCAACTTCTAGCATTTATCTTTATTATATACAGTGTTTTGGAGAAAGAAAACTGTGTCTTTGAGTGTTTCAACATGTTTCAGCATGGCCCTTTCATTCAAAGGAGAATATGTACTGTGTAAGAGAAACAAAGTACCACCTACAGTATAATAGTTACTTGAATATATTATATTTCCTCTGTAACACAATGTGATTTTAAATAATTGAGATAAAATATACTTCCCTGGTGGCTCAGATGGTTAAAGCGTCTGCCTACAATGCAGGAGACCCGGGTTCAATCCCTGGGTAGGGAAGATCTCCTGGAGAAGGAAATGGCAACCCACTCCGGTACTCTCACCTGGAAAATCCCATGGACAGAAGAGCCTGGTAGGCTACAGTCCATGGGGTTGCAAAGAGTCAGACACGACTGAGCGACTTCACTTTTCTTTCATACTTCCTAAGACATCTAACTGTAGTAGGTCTTATTTTCCTCATTAGTAATAATATTAAGAGCAACAGCAATAGCAGGAACATATATAGGTGCAGCACTGTGCAAGGAGAGTTGTAAGCCTATTTTATGTAACTTTCATGACTTTTCATGAAGGGGAGACACTAGGGCTTAGTATTCTTAGGTCAGAGTTCCTCAGAATATATCCCCACTTGAACCCAATCTTTGTGCTTTCTAAAATTATGCTAAAGGACTTCCCTGGAGGTCCAGTGGTTAAGACTTCACCTTCCAATGCAGGGGATGTGGGTTTGATCCCTGGTCAGTGAGGTAAGATGCCACATGCCTAGAGACCAAAAAACCAAAACATAAAACAGAAGCAGTTTTGTAACAGATTCAAGAAAGACTTTTAAAATGGTCTATATCCAAAACTCTTTTAAAAAAATCGTGTGTATAGTAGTAACATTTTAAAAAAAAACTTTTCAAAAAAAAAAAAAACTTTTCAAAAAAAAAACCTTTTCAGATACGCAGGCTTATTTTTTGATAATTTAGGAAATAAAGAAATGTGTAGAGAAGAAATACAATTTACTAGTAATTCCATTTTTCAGTTTTAGAGTATGATTCTTTCTACTACTCTTTGTATGCAAAGCTCCCTGCTTTAAAAAGCAAAATAGTATCACACTGTATCCTTCCACTTAATGTTATGAATATTTACTGTATCTCTATGACTGCAACCATGAAATTAAAAGATGCTTGCTCCTCGAAAGAAAAGCTTTGACAAACCTAGACAGCATATTAAAAAGCAGAGATGTTACTTTGGCAACAAAGGTCCGTCTAGTCACACTTATGGTTTTTCCAGTAGTCATGTATGGATGTGAGAGTTGGACCATAAAGAAGGCTGAGTGCCAAAGAATCGATGCTTTTGAAATATGGTGTTGGAGAAGACTCTTGAGAGTCCATTGGACTACAAGGAGATCAAACCGCCAATCCTAAAGGAAATCAATCCTGAATATTCATTGGAATTACTGATGTTCTCTGAAACTGAAGCTACAATATTTTGGCCATCTGATGTGAAGAGCCAACTTGTTAGAAAAGATCCTGATGCTGGGAAAGTTTTAAGGCAGGAGGAGAAGGGGATAACAGAGTACGAGATGGCTGGTTGGCGTCACCAACTCAATGGATGTGAGTTTGAGCAAGTTCCGGGAGATGGTGAAGGACAGGGAAGCCTGTTGCGCTGCAGTCCATGGGGTCGCAAAGAGTCAGACATGACTGAGCGAATAAACAACAAATGTAAATTTACGGATTATTTTTAAAAGCCACTTAATACTCCATCACGTAGTGTTTCCTGAATTATTAAGTATTGATTTTATTATTTCTACCATAATTTTCCTGTGAAAAGGATGTCTTACCAATTATTTCTTCAGGATAAATTATGAGAATTGGATAAAAAACTAGCAAGGTTTTTAAAACTCTTCATAAACGTAAGGTCCATGCCCTTAATTTCTACCTTATTCTTATAAAAATAAGCATTTTTGCTTGTTTTATAAACATATGCCTATTAAAGCTTGTTTTAACCTCTAACAATCTAGGAATCTTTGATTCTTTTTTAACTTATTTGGCTGTGCCAGATCTTCGCTGTAGCATGAGGGACCTTTGATCTTCATTGTTACCTGCAGGATCTTTAGTTGTGGCATGTGGAATCTAGTTTGCTGATCAGTGATTGAACCCAGGCCCCCTGCATTGAGAGCATGGGGTCTTATCCACTGGACCCCCAGGGAAGTCCCTGGGAATCTTTGATTCTTAATCAATGATTCCTAAACCTTTCAAATATAGCATGTCATTTTTACAATTAACGCCTTGACATGCCCTACTTTTAGATCCTGAAATGTAAGTTATAGTTAATATAAACTACCTGATATGAAGAACTGACTCATTTGAAAAGACCCTGATGCTGTGAAAGATTGAGGGCAGGAGGAGAAGGGGACACCAGAGGATGAGATGGTTGGATGGCATCACCGACTCAATGGACATGAATTTGGGTAAACTCTAGGAGTCGGTGATGGACAGGGAGGCCTGGCGTGCTGCAGTCCATGGGGTCGCAAAGAGTCGGACACGATTGAGTGACTGAACTGAACTGAAACTATCTATGCTTACAATTTAAATATATGTGTATAACATCTTGATCTTAATGTGTAAATGCGTTATTTATTTAAGTAGTAATACATAATCTAACAGGCTTCCCAGGTGGCACTAGTGGTTAAGAGCCTGCCTGACAGTGCAGGAGATGTAAGAGATGTGGGTTCGATCCCTGGGTCAGGAAAATCCTGGAGGAGGGCATGCAATCCACTCCAGTATTCCTGCCTGGAGAATCCCATGGACAGAGGAGCCTGGCAGGCCACAGTCCATAGGGTCGCAAAGAGTCAAACATGACTAAAGCAACTTAACACACACACACACACACACACACACACACACATAATCTAATAACATGTACTTTGGACTAGGAGTTGGTGATGGACAGGGAGGCCTGGCGTGCTGCAGTCCATGGGGTCGCAAAGAGTCGGACACGACTGAGTGATTGAACTGAACTGAAACTATCTATGCTTACAATTTAAATATATGTGTATAACATCTTGATCTTAATGTGTAAATGCATTATTTATTTAAGTAGTAATACATAATCGAACAGGCTTCCCAGGTGGCACTAGTGGTTAAGAGCCTGCCTGACAGTGCAGGAGATGTAAGAGATGTGGGTTCGATCCCTGGGTCAGGAAGACCCTGGAGGAGGGCATGCAACCCACTCCAGTATTCCTGCCTGGAGAATCCCATGGGCAGAGGAGCCTGGCAGGCCACAGTCCATAGGGTCGCAAAGAGTCAAACATGACTAAAGCAACTTAACACACACACACACACACACACACATAATCTAATAACATGTACTTTGGTGTGGAAACCTGGGGTTCCACATCACTAGAAGATACAATGAGCTTTCCAGGTGACTCATATGCTAAAGAATCTAACTGCAATGCATGAGACTGTGGGTCAGAGAAGATCCCTGGGCTTGATCCCTGGGTCAGAGAAGATACTT